TTAATGCTTTCCATACAGTCGTATGACAATGACAGGAAACTCCACTACAGAGAATGCCCCACTAAAACGCAGAGAATGACAGGGGCTGAAACAATTTCAATTCTTTTACAGTAGGTCAGACGTTTTTTTTCTCCATATCCCTGCTGCCTGCCTATCATCTAACTGTTAATTTTTTCATCCATAATTCACACTTTCCTGCTTCTTCTGACAGCAGGTGACTGTCAAAACTTGTCTTACATGGCTGTAAAGGAGATTTCTTATACTTCGACCTCTTTCCAGCGAATGATGACACATTAACTGCAATACCGGATTGAGGCAGGAGAAAAATTCCAGCCTTCTGCCCTCTGCTTGGTCTTACTGTAAAAAAACAAAACAAAAAAAATACCAAGAGTCTAATTACTAACACTCATACAGACTCTTTGAAATACAAACTCCTTAAGTCATCCCATCTGTGCACCAAAGTGTATATGCACACGAACTCAGTGATATAGAAAATGTGCAAGCTGTCAGTTCCTACTGTAAAAAAAAGGGGGGGAAAGTAATGATAAATGCAATCTCTACACTGCAGCTTAAAGCTAAATACCTTCTCGCTGCTGAAGAAACATAATCCACACAATTAATGCTAGAAAATTATAGCCTGGATCTAGTGGCAGTTTTGAACCATAAGTTATTGATTTGGAAATGAAAACCTGTACTCTTCAAGGTTAAATCCAGTCCACCCTCATTACTGCTCTGTCCTTGAGAGGCCCGCACCAGGGCTGCTGCAAGGAGTAGAGAGGACTGCTTTAATGAAGGTGAATTTAATGGGATTTAATGTAGCTGGGGGCAATGGAGCAGCAGAGATATGGTTTTAACAAAGAGCAAGGGACCAAGGGTACAGCCAAGAGAGCAGCCATTTTCCTTTCTTTTTATTTATTTCACATTTGGCTGAGCAGAGTAAAAGCACACCACATTTTCGTCTGACTCAGCCCCAAGAGTCAGTGGTTACATTTCTGAAGTCAGGACAATACAGGCCTCTAGCTTTCCATTGTAACAATCCCACAGATACTGCACAGAAGATATCACTTTGGAATCAATGGGTAACTATGTTTGTTTTATTTTTGTATGAAGCTTTTCTTTTTAATTATACCTTTAAATATAAAAAGAAAAACAAGTGTTTTTCCCAGAAGGTACGTCAAATGTTGGTTCCTCAGTATTGTTTTCACAATAAAACGCTTGTGGTGGAGTGTTTTATCTTTCAGGAAGAAAAAGAGAAATGCTATTGAACACTGTGTACTGAAGGTAATGTGATTCAAGATAATACGATGATGAAGGCACTATTACACATTCACAATCATCCCTAAAAATCGTTAGGGAGCCCAGCAGGGATAAGAGTAAAATATTTGATCATTCGTACACACACAACTTTTTAACATCTATTCTCTCTCTCTTCCGTCTTACTGAGGTGGATGTTTTGACAGATTAAGCAATGGCATGATAGCATGCCTCTCCAGTTCAGAATTGTGTGTGTGTATGTGTGTGTGTGTGCGCGCGCACGCCTTAGGCTCCTTAACACAAAGCTTTAAGAGAAATAACGCTCCTACATTTTTAAATTTATTTTCCTAACGTGATTCTTTTATTAATTGTAGAGAGCTCTCACAAATGTTGAATCCCATCTGCCTCGTGCAATTTGGCTCTCAGCGGCGAGGTCACGATCACATGGCTGTGCCTTCAGCTTTTCTGAGCTTGATGTGAACAATGTGCGCTTTCTGCAAATAGCCTTAAATGGGCCGCTTCTACAGTAACACTCCATAAATATGCCAAAAACCTCGAACAGCAAAAAAGGAAAAAAAAATCACTTTTATACCTGTTTTTAAAATGCTTGCACAGTCATTTCTCCTTTTCTCTCTCCCTTCCCTTACTCTTCCCACTCTGGAAATGTGCTGGAGAGCTGACAGGGTGCTAATTCACAAACAGAAAGAAAGGGCAAAAGCAAAGATGTGATTGTAAATGCCAGTGCAACGATATAATTCATGCAGTGTTTGTTGTTATCGGTGACAATTCTTAATAGTCGCATTGGGCATCGGCCAAACTCCTTGCTGATCATTGCTTTCCCTTCCTCTAGACATGCAGTGCATCTGTCCATCCGTCACTTCTTCCCTAGTCTCTCAAAAAGAACCCAAGCAAAAAAAGGGGGTTATCTGCTCTGAATAATAGTCATCAGTGCATTTTAAATGCTGAAACACACTGCTGATACACCACTGTAGGAGGCAGGATTAAAAGCTACATTTCTCTAACAGATCAAACACAGAGCACATTTTTACATATATATATAAACCCAAGGCACAAGCGGCACCTAATTAAAGTATGCTTTTCAAAAACACTAACCCATATCCACGTGTGGATATGATATTTGAGCAGAGGGCAGCAGGAAATGAAGAAGAGGGCAGAGGCTATCCAGTCTTGCACTTTTTTTCTGTCCTGAGACATTTCTGCACAATCTGATGAAGACGCTAAGCAAGGGTTGATTGACAGGGGTGCTAACCTTGTATCAGCGGTCACAAACGATTTACAATGCATAAAGACAAGCTAAAGAATACAAAACGTGCAGGGCAAATGTTACAGCATTTGTGATCCATGGGAAAGTTGCACACCAACCAGATGGATAATCAAAGCGCTGCTCACCACACTTTTTTACTGTCCAATCAAAATAACCCTTTATATGCAGTGTCATGTAATTAGGTACATTTAGATTCAACATAATGAGTCTTTTTCCCAGCAGATACTTTGACTCATCACAATAACAAAAACCTGGGTGTTTCTGATAATAATAACAATGGCTTTGTTCTGTTGCAGTAAATTGCTTTTTTTTTTACATCTATGATTTTTCCACTGTGACATGTCCACAGTAAAGAAATGAAAATGTCTCTGTGGAAAAAAAAGAGCCATAGTCACAAAAGAAGATCATGTCATCTTCCATTCTAATGAAGTTAATATAAAATCCTTTGAGGATTTATTGCATAGTGCTTATAATATGATTGAAAAGGATATGTTTTCAGTGAAATCTCATGGCTTCCTTGAGGACCTCCCCTGCTGACCAACCAAGAAATCTCTTCCAGACATTTCTCTTTCAGAAGATTGTCATCTTTATTTGTAAGTGAAAAGGGAACCTTGTCACTGCCAGTTAATTTTTTTTTTTTGAAATGACTAAAGAGCTATGATAGCTATAAAATGAGCCGCACTGTTCACACATCTGCATTTTCCATCTAATCTTTGATTTGCATTGGTGCCGTCTGTAATCCCTCAAATGTGACTAATGGGAAATATTAAGCACAGGTTTAGGAACAAGTGCTTTTAATTAAAATGCTGGCTCACAGAGGAGCTTGGAAAAAGGGGAGGTTTTTAAACATTTTTCACAGCACTCTTTATGTTTTTATTATTCTTGCAGTTCTCAGATCTTAAAACAAAGAAAGACTATTTTCAGAAAAAATCTCCAAAGTTAAGTAAAGTCAAGTAAATAAATGGCATTTTCTCCACTGACGCTTTAGAAATGGCAAAAACGTAGAGGCACTGCTTCAAACTGTTCTTAAACCTGATACACTGAGCACTAACACTTTTTTAAAATTCTGGATTTTCTTTTAACAAAACAAGGAAGGACCTTAAAACAGATGGGTGGCACAGAAAAGCGGCTCTAAAGGAATACACACAAAGACTTGCTTTATTAATTCTGACAAGAAAAGAGGCTCTCCACTTAAGCCATTCTTGAACTCCTGTTAACAGTAGTCTGTTCAACCCACATCTTACGTTACTTAATCAACAGCACTTCAAGACTTTCAAAATCTCAAGGTCATAGTGACATCATGACCTTTGAAGAATATCACATAAGGACGCATTCACTATAACAACACTGATTTAAGAGCTAGCAGACTGAAACACTTGGCTTTGATGTCAAAACTCACTTCGCTGCTGCTAGCAGCTCTAAAAATGAAACATAAGCCGGTAATAATCGTGCCATGGTTGTGATTCATGTGCATAAAGTGTGCATAAAGTGCTAATTTGATTCTATAACACTCACAAAAAAATTAAAAGGGGTTGACTTGAAAGCACAAGTTTTAAAAAGTGGTTGAGTGCCATGACTACTCCCCGAGATGGAGATTTTTAAAACACTTTAGGATATATAGTCATCTGACTTCTTGCCAAGGTTAGTTTAAAATGATAGATACAACTCAGATGTGCGATGTAGCTACATCTGTATTCTTGTTTTACAAGAAGTTATCTGCTGGTGCTTGGGATGTTCTACCGATTATGCTAACTGGTTACTGTCGGCTGAACTCGCAATGGATACATACACATAGCTGCTCTCACTCAAGCTGCTGCTGAAGCATCGACATTCCTGCCCTCATCTATGGCTATGAGCTGTGGTTAGTAACTGAAAAAATGTAACTGCAGATACAGCAGAAATGAGCTTCCTCCGAAGGGTGTCTGGACTCTCTCTTACAGACAGGATGAGGAGTTTGGGCTTTTGGGAGGGACTCAAGAGCAGAACTCCACATCAAACTGAACCAGTCGAGGTGGTTTGGGCATCTCAGTAGGATGCAAAATGAATGAGACGTTCCAGACATATTCTACCTGGAAGGAAGCAGGGAGCAGACCCAGGAAAGGCTGGAGATATTATATCCCTCAGTGCCTCACTGGTTAAGCTGGAGGAAGTGGCTGGGGAGAAGGAGGTCTCAGCTTCTTTGTTTAGATGGCTGCCCCACAACCCAGACCCAGACAAGCAGCAGAAAATGGATGGATGGATGGAGAGTTCATGTACTTTAGACAGTGGGGGCATTAAAATTATTTCCAAAAGAATGGCTGCTTAAACAAGTATTTAATACTGATGTAATTTATTTACTTGAAAAAGTTGTAAACTGTAAATATTGTTCTGATGAAGACACCAAGAAAGACCCGTCTGAGCAGCTTCAACTGGCTTTCATAAGCCAACAGTAGAGAATAAGTCAAGTCAATTTTATTCATAAAGGTCAGAATCAAAATTGTTTTGAATGGCTTTGAAATCTGTGCACCTGCCAAATTTCCACCTATAACATATTATATGGCCAACTTTGTGGATGCACCACCACCATGTTAATGCACATGGCTTTGGAATGAGACCGTTATTATATCAGTCATTAGTAAGAGTAACATTTGGGTGTTTGTGCACTTCACACACATGTGTGTCCCACTCCCACAGGAGAGCTACTGTACTCAGCGAAAATCTTCATGCTGGTATGATCGATACAGAATCCAGAGCGGATCAAACGGGTCTGATCCCGTCTTGAGCCTAATCATGGTCCAGAAGGTCTACAAAGGGGGACACAGTGTCAGAATTAGACCAGCAGCGGAGGATGGTGGCCTTTTTTTTGTCACGTGGTTTGATCATTACATATGGAAGTTGGACGCACTGCTGGAATGAAGCGAGTCAGTGTGATGTGCTCTGCTACAAATACATGCACTTTGATACATACCAACCACATAAACACTGTTGCACTCCTGTTCATGGCAGAGGTATTCCCTGATGGCGCTGGCCTCTTTCAGCAGGGTAATGGACACTGACACACTGCAAAATAGTTCAGGAATGGGTTGAGAAACATGACAAAGAGTAAAAGTTGTTGACTTAGACTCCAAATCCCCCAAATTTCAGCCCAATAAAACATCTATAGGATGTGCAGGAAAAACAAGTCTGATCCATGAAGCCCCACCTCGCTACCTAAAAGGACCTGATAAAGGATCTACTGCTAATGCATTGGTGGCTGATACAACACTTTGTTCAGAGGTCTGGAAGAGTCCCCCTGAACTATGTGGCTAGTAAGCCTACGGGGAGCAAAGCTGTTGTGGCAGCAGAAGATGGACCTATACAATATTAGTTTTAATGCTGTGTCTGACTGGTGTATAATGTGTTTTGTGATTTATTTAATTCTTTCTTTCTTTTTTAAGCAGGGGTGGCAGGCTACTTAGTTTTTACCTATCAACAGCTATAAATCAGTTAATGGTGTTGCACGGTTACAGTCCTATTTAGTGATTACTGTTTTTTTCTATGACACAAATTCACTAAAACAATGAACTAAAGATGTCTCGATATGCAGCTTCATGCTCAAAGTTTCATGAAGCATTTAGCATTACTGCTAGGCCACATATGAAGCAGGACACAGTGCCTTCATTAATTAATGCCTATGAAGTATGATTACAAAAAATAAATAAATATAATTACTGACCCTTTTTACATATTTTTACTCACAAAATATTATTTACATGGCTAGGTAGTCATCATGTAAATGGTGCCGATTTGCTTTTTCAAAACAAACATGGGATACTGCTGCACTTTATATGTTAGCTTTATTTTCTAACCCTACTTTGAATGCTAGGTGATACTGTAGGGTCAGGGTAAGAGAAAACAATACAGTGTCAGTTATGGAGATAATTTAGACAAACTACCGGAAGTTGGAAGCTAGTTATGTGTAACATTAACAGTTGCAGCCCTGCGACTATCTAGCTATCTTAAGCGCTTTAATCTTAAATTCTACTTGTTTTTAACTTAAATACTTCAGTGTTGGCTAAGGTGTACCATTTTTCTGGCTTTTGCAGACATTTAATGGTTAACAATGATTTAGTAGGTCGGTGGTTTTCACACTCCAGTAACGGGCATACTGTCATAGCTGACTTTTAGCATCCTTTTCCCTGACTTAAAGCCCAACTCTTAACATTTCCGTAGTCTCTTTAACATTAGGACAACGTACTTGTGTTTTGAGGACATCGTTCTGGCATCTTAATGACTGAAAACCTTCTCCGTCCACTTTTTTCATTCCTTTCCGAGCAAAAAACTACAGGCGACAGCCGGAAGTGACGATTCTCCTGAAACAAGACTTATTCTTTACAAGAAACAAGTACACAAAAAACAAGTTACTTTACTCATCAGGGCAAAAATGTACAACAAATTATAATTTAACTATAAACAAACTTATTAGCCAAATCGCTTCAGCTAACAAGAATATGAACAACTTACCACAGTTTCATGAAACGTTTTATATGCATCTATTGCATTGGACACCACTTTAAGTTTCCATGTCAAACAGCGTCTGTGTTTCATAAATAGATGGCTATTTTGGGTAGGTTTTTAACCTTAAAACTAAAAGTTATGTTAAAAATTACTTATTTTTAACTTGTGTTATTCAATTGGCCATAAGGGTCTCATGGCACAAGCTTTATTCAGAGCCTTTTGCAATTCACTGAAACATCATAACCCCTGACATTGTTACAATAAAAAGTCCAATAAAGCTTTTCCTGTTCCCATCAAAGGGTCCTGCAGCTGTAAGCCTTCTAAAGTTTCACCCTCCTTTTCAGCTAACAACACCCATCCCTCAGGAATACTGTGACAATGGAGCTGCAAAGACAAAGCGCTCGTCACCCGTGTAAAGTCTGTATGTGTCTGTCTGGAAAAGACATTGAAACAAACAGGTTGAAGGGCCAACCGGAGGCTCTTTCTCTCTCAAAATGCCTCCCAGACCTAGTGGTGTCTCTGACAGGCTCTCTCCTGGTGAGCTAGCCTCCATGATGAATGACCACCTTTCCACTCTTTATCGCCCCACTAAATCATGGGCTTACCATGTTTTTATGACCAATTTTTGCTGCTTTGTTTTACTTTCCTCTAGTTTTGAATGAAACTCCAAAGGCTGAGGGCTTATTATTGAATTGGTATTCATGTTGAGATTGGAGATCTAGCTTTATTAATCAAATTCACTGAGACAAATGTGTCAGACCTTGTTTGGACCCGAGTAATGCTCCACGGAGAGATGCTCTTATCTAAAGAGCATCTATTTGTAGAATATTTTATGTTTTTATTAAAGGTTTCCCTGCGTGGTGTTGTACAGCACTTCTTTATTTTATTTTTGCTGTAATTCTGGAAATGTATAAATTATTGAAATGAATTAGGTTCGAACTTGGAGTTGGTAGTAGCCCAGAGATGAGATGGGCCAGGGTCAGGACATAGAGCCTGAAAAAAGGCTGGACAATTGAGATTGCTCTGAGTTTATGCCTGTCCAAGTCCTTATAGGCTTGCTTCTGTCTTTAAATCTGTTTTCTGTTATGAAACCCCAAAACACATTGCAAGCTTTGATATATTTATTTAATTTTGCAAAACATAAAGCTGTATAAAAATCTAATGTTATTTTAGATTGTTGTGTCAATATAATAGAAATAGTAATCCTTAACAAGGTCTTAGCCTTCCTGTATCTACTTCATATTAAAGTTTTATAGTTAGAGCTTTCTGCAAGTTTTCTGCCAGGGTTTTCTGTAGTGTTTATATCAATAAGAGCTGAGACACCATAGAATAAATTTAGGTTGTCTTCTGTAACTGAAGCATCAAAACTGTGGTAATGATTGAAGTGTATAAATCGTCTTTCTTTTCTACTTTGTATAACTGGTCAAATAGTCTTATATTGTAATGCACCAGCTGATGTTACAGCTGGAATGTTAGTCGTGTGCATGATGACAAACATTTTGATCTTGTCCTTTTCCAAGCTTTGGTTCCTGCAAAGCAAAGCTCTGGCCAGATGTAGTGTACTCTGTCTCCCCCTAGTGGGCTTAGAAAAACCGTCTTTTCTTCTGAGTGACAAACTTTCCAATCTTAGGGGAATAACATGGCCTACACAGATAGGAGGAAGAAAATTAAAAAAATTTAATTTATTAAACATTTAATGACCAAGAGCTGATCAAAAGTATTTTGCACATATTTTGCACATAATTTTCACTATCCTGCTTATCAGTGATGGAAAGGGTAGACAATCAATATTCACAACTCATTTTTAACCCTTTTATGTTAGAAACCCACAAGCCATAGAAACCCATTCTGTAGTCCACTTATGGCTTTGGGGGTTTTATGATCAATCAATCACCTAAGCAAAGCTTGAGTGTGTGAGCCACTGCCAGGGGAGGTCTGACCCACGGCCTAGCATGACATTGAAGGAGGGAGTGCTACTCACCCAGGAAATCCCATTACACCAAAGTATGATGGATATCGGTACTGGGGAAGCTCATATGTGGTCTGACATATAATTTGTTATAATTTGTAAAAAATTGTGTGACGATGCTCACCTTTCTCCCTGTCTTTCACATTTTTAGAATTCTGTCCCTTAACACACCCTGACTTGAATACCTGAAGTCTAAAATCACACATCGTGGTATATGTGCTCTCTTTGTATCTCAGATCATACAGAGTTTAGACTGTGAATGTCTATCCTAAAGTCTTACACCACAGGTATACTTCCATCCTTTTGAATCTTACAACAAACAGAGCATCTCTGATTTTTAATCGGAGCTATATTTTCAGAAGCAACAAAAAGAGCCAAAATCAACATCAGTTTTTTTTTTTTCAAACAGGTCAGTTATCTTGCTTTTAAAAGTAGCAAGTATACATCAAGCATACATGAAGTATACATCAAGCTACGGTTTGCTTTTTGCGTTTTGTTTTTTTCCCCTGAGCTGTAATGGCATTTTCTGAAGCAACCGCAGTGAATGAAGAGACAACCTCGGATTTTGCACTTTTGTACAGATAACCTGAGGATTTCAGCACTGATCAATAAGACCAAATATACAATAGTCTGCTTATGTGAAAAGGTGAACAAAAGAGGGATGTCTGTCTCTATCAAGCAAATAAAATACCTTCTATCAGTAGAAGGGAGACAAAAACAGCGATCCTCCGTAAATAAATGTCACTTGTGCCCCCTGCAATGTGGCACCGTCTTGTATTACTTACCTCAAAAATTAAAACAAAAGGTTAATCAGGCATGGCCCGTACTCTTCTCAACAGTCTCCCATTCTGTTTGTTTATGCTACATCACTCTTCAGTGGCATATTGATTGTCCAAGCTAAGAGAATACCTTTCCTAAAATCAATGAAAGACATCCCAGCATGTAGTCTTTGGATTTCTTTGTCTTTATTTGATCACATTTATCTTCCTAATAAAGCTAGATAAATAAATAATAAAAAGAAGAAAAAGAGCAAGACATTTATATTTTTAACATCTAACTAACACTGGTCTTATCTATTTGTGCTCGTCACAGTGAGCCAAGTTTGTCTCTGAACTTTCCCCTCGATATGCTTTGCAGATACAGATAAGAAAAAAAGCAAACGGACAACGACCCAATTTGAGTCAATGACAGGTTACTTGAGAGGACCGTCATGGTGCAAGCTTTTCAGCACACCACAAGAATGTTACAAGTGACATTTTAAAGAAGATTAATACCTGTAGAGTGGCTCAAGAGCACAAAGACAAAAGCTTTCAAACAATAGTGGGAACGAAAAGAATTGGAGCCACACACGGGAAACTTGTGAGGGATGAGAACTAAGCCGAATGCATGACCTGGAAGTTAAAATTGACACTGCTGGAGCTTTGCATATCTCAGAAACCCTTCACAGAGTCCAGAGACCATGAAGCTTACTAGGACTATCCTTAAACTGGAGTGCACTCATGGCAGCACAGAGACTAAACTGTTAAACAACATGATGCTGGTTCCTCTACGAGCAAATAAAACAGGTATGATGAGCTTTCACCTAAATTGCTCTTGATTACAAGTAACGATCTTCAGAGTGTTGTCCACTGTCACACCAAAAGATACTGAAACTGCATAACTGAATATTAAAAAGAGATCTGCTTTGAAAATGCATCACTTTGGGGATCTAGTTTTTGTTTTTGTTTTTTATTAATTAGTCCAGCTAACCTTATTTTAATACTTGAAATTACGTCCAAGTGTGAAATGCCACAGTTTCACAGGGTCCAAGGTCCAAGTCCATAGTCCATATCGGGCATTGTTGCATAAAAATGTTTATGTATAAGGCATAAATTATCAAAATAGTTGCAGATTACTTTTTCCATAGGTCTACATCAGTTTACATTCTGATCTATTGTCATTCTAATTAGGACTCTGTTGAGCTGAATCAGCCCCTTTCCTTGCCAATTTAAATGAAGAAGCTTCACTACTAGGCTGCTCTTTAAATCCAGATAACTGCGAGGCAAATGTATTCTAATCTCTTAATTCAATCTAGCTGATCTTTGGCCACAGAAAGCATTTCCTTGTTAAATTGAAAATCCCTAGCTGCTTCATCTGCCTAAACTAAGTGTGCAATTTACAGACATTATAGCTGGGGGCATGTAAAATATGTGCATTAGTGCAGGAATATTACACCAAGATGGCATATTTGATGGTCAGTGCTTTTAAAGCGAGACAGTCCTGCAACAAGAGGGGTAAGATGCAGTTTAGAGCAACACGGTGGGAGGCTGAGTGCCCAGTGTAAAATTAGCCAGAGGAGAGTAGTGGACTTTGGTTCTTAACTGGCTTCTAAACTGCTTTAGTTAAATGGGGAATTACCTTTTACTCATGGGTACAGTGTTCCTTAGGGGTCCATGCCATTCATATACAGCTGATATCATTACCTATAACCCTGCTTTTATTATCCTCACACTGTTCCAGCTATGAAGCAGTGCGAAGATGATTCTGAGGGGTTCAAAAGTGCATAATCAGCACCTTTCTGCAAATTCATCTCTGTGTACAAAGGTATTATTTTCACGGAGGTGAAATATGATTCATTACGTGTTTCTGTTAATGGGTTAGATGGAAGTGTAACATAATTAGAAAGCAGAGTACAGTTACAACTTAAATAGATGGTAATCAGAAGCTACAATCCTAAAATGAATCAAGGATGAGCTGATCGGAGTTGGTCAAAATATTCTACGTGACCTCATAAAATACTTTTTGGCAGAATTCAAGACTTGGTTAGCTAATTGTGACAAAAATATCACATACATGTCTAATATGAAAAGATAATGAAATG